GTCAGTTGTAAGGCTTTTAACCTTATTTTCGAATTCAAGTGAATAGTAATACCAGCATAGAATCTCTTTTTGACCTTTTTTAACTGCTTTATCAAACAAATATGAGAGACTTTGCGCAGAACCTGGAATTATATTTTGTATACAAGACTTGCTAATTTCACCAGGTCCACTGATATCTAAAGATGTGGAATCATTTTTGGAAGAAATGACACTCTGTGTATGATCATGGGACATCTCTTGTATTAAATTTTCTACTATTTGATCATCTGATTCGAATACTTCAGAGATATTAACAGAGTTTACATAAACATTATTTTGATCGTGACCATTAGTCACGGTTTTTGCATCAGATGGTAATGGTGATGGTATAATCTCTTCTCGATCGTGACCATTGGTCACAGTATTTGCATTACATAGTAATGGAAGTGGCATCGGCTTTTCTAATTCTGTCGAGGAAGCATTTTGATTATCTAAAGATAAGTCTGGATTTTGATGAGTTTTTGACTCGAGGCTATGCTTCTTCTGAAGCTTCTCCCGATTTCTCTCTCTTATCATATTACTAACCCTTTCCTTTTCTATCCGATCCAGAAAATCGTCCTTCTCTTTATCTTCTGACGAATTAGGCTCTGTATGGATAGATTGGCATACATCAGAATTTGGTGCATTTTCAGATGTATCATCTGTCTGTTCAGAAATATTATTAGAATTAACTTCGGGAGAAATAGCACTTTGTGTCTGCTCTAGATTTACAGAGTCAGTGCTATCATCTTCACCAGAGTGATTTTTAATTGACGGTGAAATAAGTGATTGTGAAGTTACTGAAGCCTGTTTAATTTGTGAAACATCCCATTCCAGTTTAGCAATAAGATCAGTTTTTTCTTTATCGCTCTGCTCTAGTTTTGCGAATCTGGCCTCAATGTCTTCTTTATCCTGTTTTAATTTTGTATTCTCGGCCTTGATCTCAGCATTCTCCTTCCTAAGTTCTGCAATCTCAGCTAAGAGCTTGGCATTTAATTCCCTTAATAAATCGTTGGATTGAGCGTTCGACATGTTCGATAAATTATATACAAGAACAGAAATATTCAAAAGCTCGTTAGTATATTGTATATAGAAACAGTCAAGTAAAAAATTGGGCTGATTGTGACCAACGGTCACGGTTTTTTTGCCAAGAAAAAATTTTTATTAATATCATTGAATTTAATCCAACAAACGTAAAACGCAAAGAAAAATACTTTTATACAGATTAATATATATCATTATCAATACATTAAAATAAATACACATGCAAAAGTAAACATGATTAT